TTCCCTATAAAAACTCAAAAAACTCCACTCTGGAGTCAGTCACATTTATATTATTTCCCTGCCACTTTTCTCTGACATATCCTGAACCTCAGGCTGCTAAATGAACTTGATTCAGGAGTGACAGTGCATTGTGGGCCATGGTGTTCAAGCCAAGGACAAAAGCTCAGCCCCTGATGGCTGCATATGTCACTCCCTGACATCACTGCTCCAAAGGATATATCCCCGTTTGAATTCCACAGGACCTCCTTTGAAACCTCTGATTATAGCTCAGCCCTAAACTACAGAGACAGCCATCCTGATACATGGAGCAGTGGGCCGGGCTCGGATCTGTCCCAGGGACTACAGGGAGGCCATAACACAGGGCTGGCACTTGCTGGCCCCTTCCCTCACTGCCATCCATCTCTCCTCCCACCCAGCCCCTCCATGGCCACTTGTCCCAGTTCTGCAGCACTCCTGGTTTATTCATAATCAGTTACAGAGGGCACAGACACCTCTGATGGGCTTTGATTGCTGTCTTCAGCTCAACATGCATTCAGAGGAATTCCCCACCTCCCAGTTTGCATTGCCAGGCATGAGGCAGCATCATCAACCTCCTCAGATATTCAGTACCAGATAAGAACATATTCTGTCTGCAGGGACACTTACCACAGCTGCTTAATTGCACAGAGAACTGCAATCCTCACTCAAGACACATAGCCAGGCACACATCACCAGAGCTCTGCCTCAGTGCTCTTTGGGTCTGCACAGACAGGATGGAGTTTTAACTCAAGTCATCCTGAAGATGCACTTTGAAACTTGAAAAAAGCTTTTTTTTCATCCTATTTCAATACAGATAGAGTTTTTTTCCTGTCATAAATGCAAAAGTCAATCTCCAAAAGCAGTCCAGCAGTGTGACAGTTGCACAAGTCCACAGAATCCATGTCTCCCATGGCTTGGAAGTCAGGTTGATGGCAAAAGCCAGTTCCACCACCCAGTTACAGATGTCTGGGCTGTGGGTGGAAGGTGTTGGGTGCAGTCTTTGCACTGGTGCTGCTGAGGTCATGTTAGGACTTCCCTCCTGCTGAATCTGTTGCAGAAGGAGTGACTGGTTGGTCAAAGGAACAATTTAAATTACAGCATCTGGACACAGCTGCAGGGCTGCTGCCCCATGTCCTCAGTGGAGTCAGACAGAAAGACAGAGGAACAGGAAATTGCATTAACAAGTCTGAATTCTGAGTAAAGTCCAAGTGCTTTCTTATCTCTTCATTGTCCACTTCAGACTGCATCAGTGTTCCAGGAGTTTGCCTGAAAAATCTGCTGTTTAGGTTCCTCTGAGAGACATCCTTAATAATTTTTATGCTGAACCCCAAGTTAGAGCAGTGGAGAGATGTTACCAGACAAAACTGGAGGAAAAAAAATCTTCATCCAAATGTCACACATTCCAAAGTGATTTTGCTTCATTTTTCACATGGGATGAGGGGATCTTCCTCATCTCAGAGCAAAATTAAGCATCTTATCAACCACATTTATCCATCATTGAAAGTGTAACTAGGAGCTGAAGTGCAATGACACTGTCTGTGCATGTGCTCTGTCATCTTCTCGTTCTTCCATAGCCAGGTTTTTTGGCTGGAATTCTGGTAGGGAGAAAAATTTTAATATATAAGTTGAGAGAAAAGGTAAAGAAACATGAAGGTGGAAGTAAATAAATGAAATATTAACAAAAATTGCTATTTTTAACAATATGCGCACAGAAAATGTCAGAGCTTGCATCTGCAGAGATCATGGAACCATAGAAAGGCTTTGGGTAGGGGGGAACCTTCAAAGATCACCTCTTACAACACTGCCTGCCATGGGCAGGGACACCTTCCACTAGACCAGATGCTGAAAGCCCCATCCAGCCTGGCCTTGAATACTTCTGGGGACGGAGCTAATGTCAGAGGAGTTCTAAGGTGGCTTTTGTTTTCACTGCCAGGCTGTCAGGACACTTGCACATCCTTGAGGATAGGCTGACAGTCTTCTTATGAATGCAGCACCCAAAGCAGAAAATCAGAGCTCCCTGGGGTTACATTCCTTCCTCTGTTTGCTCCTGCAAGGTTTCCTGCAATCTGTAACCAAACCACAAACACAGCGCTGATGTTCTTTTGAAACAGCCGCAAGTTCCTCCTCATTTAGAAATGCTGATGCACTTTGGATTTGGCAAGAAAAGCTTCTTTCTTTTTTTTTTTTTTTTTCTGCAGGTGGTGAACAGACTTGGCTGATCTCAATTCAGGTGTTTTGCTGAAATCAGTACCCATTTTAACTGCACTAAGCAGCTCACTAGCTGAGGTATGCATTTCCAAAAAATCATGTGATGCGTTACTCAGGACAGCTGTCCTTGGCACACCATGCTGCAGCAGGGCTGATGGCCAGCCCATAGCAGGAGATGGGTGGCATTGACATGTCCCCATCCCTGCCCCATCCCTGCCCCATCACTGCCTGGGCAGCAGGTCTCCAAACCCACTTCCCCTGGGTTGCTGCACTGGGCAAGGAGCAACGTCCATGTGAACCAGTTGCTAAAGCAGGACTAACTCCCTCAGCTGCTCCGTCCTGAGGAACTGCTAACATGGTATCTGACACTGCCTGCAGGCTTCATCCTGGAATGAGCAACCCTTCAAGAGGAAGGCAATCCCTTAACAGGGCTGCAGGAAACAGGGTGCAGGACTTCATAATGAAACACGTCGCCATATGCTCGCTGTGGTAATTAAAGGAAGGGAAAAAGAAATCCCAGTAACTCTTTATAAAGAAACACATGAGGAAAGGACTGCCATTTTAAACCCCTCTTTTTATGAAGTTTTCACAGTAATATGAAAGTTAAAATGTAAACCTGTTGCATTGGTGTCAATACAGAAAAAGCAAAGTCAGTGCCACACGTACTGAGTACACAGTGTCCCATTCCCAAGGACGCAGCTGCTCAGTCTAGGGATATTTTTTTGTAAAAAAGATCCCACAGTAAGAGGAAAAATGGCCATGAAAACTAAGATCTTGTGAGATACAGCTTCTGAAGCTCTGTGTTATTAATATTAAACCAATTTGAATGACAAACATACCTACAAGAGTTCCCTAGTTGACATAGGTTTAGGTTTGTGAAATGTAAGCAGTTTCTTTAAAAAAAAAAAAAAGAAAGAAATCTGTGGATCCACATTTTTCTGCTGGGTTCTGCAAAGTCCTGTGCTGACATCAAGTGGTGACATATTTTTCATGCCAAAGGGAGCCAGACTGGCTGTGCTGTGGATGATATTCATTATCCTGAGAAGGTAAAGGCAAGTGGTCCCAGGCCACTGGGGGACTACAGCAGCAGCCTCACCGGCAGGTGCTCCCGTGGGGATGGACAGCCAGAGGAGTGTGGAAAAGCAACATAACCCCTGCAAAGCAAGGCGGGGGGGGTGAGGTGAGCCTCCCCAGTGACTCCTGGACACAGGAGGTGCTGTCTGAGACCCCAGCACCCACCAAATGTGACCACTGGCAAGAGCTCTCCCTTTGCTAGCCATGAAAGCTCTGGCTGGGAGAGGTACAATGAGGCTTGGTGGCCTCAGGGGACTGAGGAGAGCACATAGAGCTCATTTACTGAGGAAAGCTGGACACACAGTTAGCCAGAGGATGGGAGGCTGTCTTAATTAGTTCTGCAGAAATACCAAGGAGGGCAAAACAAATACATAAGGTCATGTACTGGCTGTGAATAAAATTAAGCTTGGCATTAGAAGAGTTTTAACTCCAAGTGAACTTCTGGAACAACAGCCCTGCGGAAATTGCAGGAAAATCCTCCCACAATGGAGTTTCAAAGGGCAGGTTGATTATTCACTGCAGGTATTGTGGCCCATGATGTGAGCTGTAACATCAGCCCTGGGTTGGTAGGGACTGGCCTTGGTGAGGGATATGGTTTGTTTCCCTCATTGGCCTCAATACTCACTGAAGTTTGTTTTCAAAGGTGCCATTGATTGGGAAGTGCAGTTTTATTTGTGGATTTACCCACGGATGTTCAGGTCAATCATACTTTGTTAAAAGAACTGTGTACTCAAATAATAGCTGGAGATTTATGGTATGCAAACACAGAATGGTCTCGGTTCATAACTCAGATTAAGGACAAAACCACTCTTCCTCTCACTGATTGTTGGTCTGAGTGTAGAAATGGTTTCCTGCTCTTCCCAGGAGCCAGCCGGTTCTGGGAGCCCTGCAGCAACCCTGCCACTGCATGCCCATGGTGGCATATCCTTGCTCTTGTCCAGGGCTGGGAAGCAGGGTCACCCTGCCCACAGGGTGCACAGCTCAGCAGCCCAGGGAGTGTTTCTGTCCTCTCCATACCTACATCTCCTTTCACAGACTCCATCTGGCTGTGCATCTCTGTGTGACTGGAATCCTGATGTCAGGAAAATTTTCCGTGCCCTCCTTCACGGCTGGGCATTACAAACATCAGAGTGAAAAAGAAAAATGCCATATCCATTCAGATGCATCTCTGTGGGGAGAAAATCATATTTGTGGGCTTGGTTGCTCCAAAAGCTGGTGGGATTTGCCCATTGCAGCTAAGCGTTGGTAAATGTTTTGTGGGGACGACGTACAAAAGGGCCACGTCACGTCATGTAGTTGGTCCCTGAGGTCATTGCCCAGCCTGTGCTTTGATATGGTGCAAAGAAATGTTCGTGACGTTCTGTTCCACCCATGCTGTGTTACTGTGAGTGCTGGGGCACGGGAGGAACATCCAAATCTCGGAGCAGCTCTCAGGGGCACTGGCAAAGGGCCCAAGTCAGCCAGGGCACGGGGAGAAGGGCACTGTTACGCTGCTGAGCTGGGCATTGATTTATTTGGTTTGGTTTGGGTTTGTCTTTTGGGTTTTTTTCCCCATGTGTTGACATTGCAGTCTGGATTTGCCCTTAGAGGTTTTGTTTTCTCATGAGCATCTGGACTTTAAACTTCAACATCTCTCCTGTAGCATTTCCCACAAGAGCCGCAGGAATGCAGGCAGGCACCGCTAGGCTCAGAGGGTAACAATGGCAAGGTGCTCTTGGATAATATTCTTCCTTCTCTCTGCCCTTTTCCTGCAGACAGAGCAGGCAGGTATGACTTTCCTTTTGTTGCGCTTTTAATTCTGATTTGTGCCGTTGCTTTTCTAAAAACACCAGCAATTTTGTATCTTGTATAATGTTTACTTGTAGCACAGAGTGAAATCAATGAAAAGAGCTCGTTTCTTATTTTCCTTAAATTTCTGCTGTTTATTTCATGCACCTAAGTGAAAACTTCTGTAAACTAACGGGGCAATGTAATTTTGAAGTACCATCATTTATGCCAGGGTAATATTTTGTCTTTCCCTACAATTTTTAGAGTGTTCCGTATATTAATGCAAATTTTGTTTTATACTTCTAGTTGCTGCTGAAATAAAAATGAGAGAGTCCTATGGAGGAGGACAATATGCATGCTTGTTATAGCCTGAAGAAGTTTATGTTTCTGTATTAATCCTCCATGGTTTGTCAAAAATAAGGAGGAACCAGGGAAGGAAGGAAAATATGGTGTTCTCTTAAGAAAGTCAAAATATCCTGCAGCAGAAGTTCACTGCCAGCTGTGCTGGATGTGGCAGAACCACTGCAGGGCAGAAATATGTGCTGCGGGTCAGATAACATTTAAAATGCAGAACAGAGTCGTGAAGTTTTTCCTTTTTTTAGTATCATGTGCAAGACTGTTCCTTACGGGATATCAAAAAGATAACTAAATATCTGTACACAGTTTTGGAATAATTTTGCTGTTGCTCTCACTTTTTCCAGTTCTGTGATTATTGATTATTCAACCAGCACTGCTGGGTCCCCAAACACTGTATAAAAGAGAAAAAACCCCCTGAATATTCCCTGCCCCAATGTATTTACTTTCCAAGCACAGAAGAACTGACAAACACGTGCTGACACACACGGTCACACATTGCTTCACGTGGAAGAGGAGGCTCCAGGGTGGCACCAGCTGCCCAGCTGGCAGGCAGTTTTGGTGGAGGTGTCATTTGCAAAGAGGATATTTAAGATGTGTTAGCTGGTCTCTCCTCCTCTTTACTCAATTTGAAAGATTACAGTGTCTTCCACATAAACAGTGGTATGGGATATAGCCCTCTTAACTATGAGCATTGCTGAGGGGTAGTTTTTATTTGCTCTCCTTAAGAGAGAATTGATTGAGAACTCAGCCATGTCTTGGCTTTGCTCCTCAGAAAAAAAAATAAAAATAAAAATAAAAATAAAAAAAATTGCCATGAACTAAGACTGAAGAGCATCAGTTTGGATCCACCATCATAACTTCGTACCACTAATATCCACTTCCATAAATGCATCTGAAACCGCTGTGCAGTCTCACAAAATAACCTTTGCCTTTTCTAATAATGTTTCCCCCCTTTTCCTGGCTGTGCATCCACACTCTTCTCTGTGTGACTCGTGCAGTAAAATAATTTGCCAGGAAGGGCTTCAAATTCCCCCTGCTTGGGAGCAAGTCAGGCATTCCCCAGAAGTAAAAGGTCCAACTCCTCAGCTGAATTTGGGCTAAGACAGTAGAGCTCTTTGAGTAAGTAAGGTTAGTATGGCTGAAACCCCAAATCATCCAAAATTATTTCTCTTATAAAGAAGGTAAAATTATATAAGGAGATTAATCTAAGTACTTATATTAGTGTTTTGTCATACAATGTTCCAGTATTTATATCAGCTCATGATGCAAACAGTGTTATCAAGAGACAGAGACGTGCCAGTTCCATACTTCTGGAGGAGGTCCTTCAAGGCAGCTTGGAAAGAGAATGCCTAGAAGAGAGGTGTACACATGAAGAAGCAAGAGAAGTATTTGAAGATGATGAAATGCTCGTAAGTACTTTGTTTCCCTGCATGCACAATAAAAACTGCTGCTATGATCCTTTCCTTGTGAAACACAAGACTGCTTCATTTGTTTGGGTTTCTCTCCATGTGAAATCTTTCCATTTGCCATTTCAGCAGGTAGCAAGCAGGTGCCTTCCATGGTCAAAATGGAAATGAGAAGGGCAGCTCTGATATTGTTCAAGTCCTCTCTAGAAAATGATGTGTCATGCTCCTTATATTACTAAATCATGTGGCTGTTGTCCCATCCTGACCACACACAGAAATACAGCTTCAGCATCCCTTAGGGACCAGGAGGGGCAAAGGGCTGTCTGTCAGCAGAAGAGCACCTGGAGGGCAGCACAAAGGAATTCCAGTCACTCCAGACAGGGAATTGGCTTCATCAGGGCCCAACTCAAATGTCTCTATGCAAATGCATGCAGCATGGGAAATAAATTAGAGGAGTTCGAGTGGTGTGGGGCACTGGAACAGTTGTCCAGAGAAGCTGTGGATGCCCCATCCCTGGAAGTGCTCAAGGCCAGGCTGGATAGGCCTTTGAGCAACCTGGTCTGGTGAAAGATGGCCCTGCCCACAGCAGGAGATTAGAACCAGATGATTTTTAAGGTCCCTTCCAACCCTTCCAAACCATTCTGTGATTTTATGACTGGGGACAGAGGGAATCAATGCAACAGCAAGTAGTGGGACCTATAGAGAGAGGCTCACTTGGTGAATATCTGCAAATTCCTTTGCACCAGAGGCTCTCCAGACATATGCAGATGGGTGCTGTGCTCTTTAATGAGAATCTGGTTGGGTTTTGTTTGCAGGGAAAGCAGAGGAAAGAGCTGTAGGGCATGCCAGAGAGACAATAGCCAGCCAGTTTGTTCAGGGAGCTGCATTGCTGAAGGATCCTGTTCCTCTCTGGCCTGTGAAGGGTTTCTTTTCCTGTACAGCTCCTTAAGAAACAATCAAGTAAGCAGTAGCCAAAGCCCCTCCCTGCTCATGTTTATGTTTGCTAGCAGCACATTGGAGTTGTGAAAATTTGTAAACATTAAACCACTGTATATATTCTCTCATAACATGTTTTTTTGTTTAGCAAAATATTTATTACATATTACATTACTTGAGAATTAAATAATTTCCTTTTTTTTCCAGAGAATGTTTTGGGATGTCTACTATGGTAAGCTGGCCTCTTGATTTCTCTCCTTCATAGTACTGTCACATTATGAACATTTTGATTCATTTTTCTAAGAGTTTCTTCTATGACAAACAATCAGTCTCTATTTGTCATGTCTGTAGTAAAACAGAAGGAAAATTTTTGATGTGAAATAATTTTTAAAAAGTAATATACAAGAAAAACCATTCAAATCTGCAAAAACAATAAAAGTAGAAGATGAGTAAAGGTCATCATACTAAATAGGCTACTTCTTTTCCTGAATCTGAAACAGCCTGGGACATGAGAAAATATGTTTTGCTGATACAATAGAGCAGCACAGTTCTACCAGCAAAATCTCCCAAATACAGAATTAGCAATTAAACCTGGGCAGATAAATAGATATTAAAAGCTACTGAGCTGTCTACAAACTCTGCACAGTGGGATTGCATCATTCCCTGTCAGGTGCTAAGGTGAGAAACAAATCTGTAGGAGCTGAGGTCCTGATGTAACTCAATGCCCCTGAACAGGAAGCCTGTGGCACCAGCTCATGGTGACTGTGACATTCCCTCCCTTTTTTCTGTATGCTTCATCCCAAGTTTCTCCTCTTGTTTTTAGCTTAGCTATTATTAATTTCTAATCTTAGGTTTAAAGAGTGGATAAGGAGGTGGCAAAACCAGCAGTCAGTAATAATTTTCTGCACAAGCCACTAAATCACTGAGTCCTGGGAACCATTGCATAGAAGAATCCCATCAGTGCTATAAAGGTTATGAAGAATGATGCTAAATATCTGGCATTTTATTACTTTTGTGAGGGTGGGATCAATTTCTAATTTGAGTCACTGGATATTTGTACTAAGCATGTCATGCAGGCTTCCTCTCTAGCCTAGGATGAGAGAAGGGAAACCAGCTCAGAATGGTCCCTCCAAACAAGCTTAGCCACAATCAGGACACATTACTGACTTCAGCCTCAGGGGTGGCTTTCTTATTGTAATTAAAAGCCATATGTTCTATCTTCTTCCTAAAGAACAGCAGTGTGTGTTTCCTTCTCTGTGATGTCTTCTCTAACATTTTGGAGAGTGTTGCCTTTGAAAAGTGTTTTTTTCCTCCTCGCTAAACAAACACATTTTTTCATTCTGTCTTCCAGTAATCTCATTTTCTAGACCTCTGGTATTCATGTTGTTTTCTGCTGAAAGTCCAGGGTGCAGAGGATAAATCTGCATTGCGAATAAAAGAGGAGAGGCTGAGCACCCACCTAACTGCTGGGTCACCCACCAGCTCTGTTCTGCACTGTTTTGCCCCTTCAAGTCAAAACTGATGTAGTGGCAGCTTGCTGGATCTCTGCTGTCAGGGCACTTTGCCTGAGGTCACACTTGTCCCTGACCCTCTTTTATCAACAGTATAAACTTCACCATTGACAATCTCTCTTTAAACATCACTTTCCGAAAGTTTTGTGCAAGCCTTATAGCAGTCTGCTCACTGAATAACAATGTCATTGGGACATTTCTATTCTGTGATGTTCACTGATTCCCCCTAGGTCTCTTATCCTATAATATTATTAAATGGTTTAAATTAATTATTTGATCTTGAAAAATGTATGTTGGTTTTTATTTCCCACCTTTTTATACTGCTTTGTGCTTACAGTTTAATCATAGCTTGCCAGTAACAGAAATCAGGCCAATTTCTATATATTTCCTTGAATCTTCTCATTCCTCCTTTAATAAAGCTAGGTGCTGGATTTATTTTCTTCCCAGCATGGTTTTCAGAGGCTTGAATCCATCTAACTGCTTCAGGCTGCAGGGGTAACCCCTCCCTAGCTCCAGCTCCTCAATTCTGCCTGCTCAGCAGAGATTCCCCCAATTCACACACAACCCCTCTCTGGAGGCGTACACTGTGCTTGGGTATGCTGGTGGCATCTGACTGCAGGTGGGTTGAAGGTGGTAACTCTTTCAGCCAGTATTTTAGTGCATCTAACACTCAAAGGTGCCCATGGCCTCAGCAGATGGTGATTGGTGTTTTTTTCCCAGTAGCTGGCAGAGTTTTCACTTTTCCATCCCTGAAATCAGGTGGGGCAGCTCACTGATTGAATTAACCTCTCTGCTGAGGTGATAATTTTTAGAAAGGTTGGACAGCATGTCCCAGGTTAGGCTCTCCTGGCTTGCTTACTGATAGCCTATGTCTATAATAAGTAGTTATTACTTGGATCATGTTTTCAAACTGCTTAGGAGTCATTCCTGTGGGCAGCTTGAAGGGAAACTGGCAGCTCTGCCCAGTGCTTCACTCACAGTGAGGACACCCTCTTGTTTTAATGTTCAGTTCAGCAGAAAGAGCAAGCTTGCTAGTGTCTGAGCTGCTGCATGATAATTGTGCAGATATTTAAAAGTATATTTCCTCTGTTTTGATGTTGATTGCTGTACACTTGCTCTATAATTTTGATGCCAGCTTTTTCTAACCAGTGCATATCAATCTAACATGGGATATCTAAAACACCAGTCTTACATTACATTTTTAAAAAAGCAGGAACTGTAACTCAGTCCTTTTCCCTGAATCGGAGCATCCATCCTCCAGAAGGAGGCTCTGCCTCTGGGCAGCTCCCAGCCTCTCTGACAGGAGCTGCAACAGCACCTCTGGAAGCAGATTTGAGCTAAAATTACCCCTGAGGAGCAGTTCGGTGACACTTAGCCCGTTTCCTTCCGAAGTGCTCTCACAACACTTCTCTGAACAGCACATGTGCCGGGATGGGGGCTGTGTAATTTGGGATCAGTATTGGTGATGACTCCTCCCTCTCCATCTCTTCAGGGGGCAGGAGGTGCTCCTCAAGCCCCTGCCAGCACAACGGTGTGTGTGAGGACAGCATCCGTGGCTACACCTGCACCTGTGCTGAGGGCTACGAGGGAGAGAACTGTGCTTTTGGTAAGGCATTGCCCCCTTCTGAGAAGCCCCATCTCATCTTGTCACAGGGTGTCCCCATGAAACCATACTCAGCTCTCCCATGGTGCCACTTACCATGGTTTTGGGTAAAACACACAATTCTGGCAGAGTAGGGGTGATGTGTGCTGCCTGCCTACAAAACATGATGGAATCCTGAGGTTCCACAGGCTGTCCCTGCGCCCTGAGCCTCCCTTCTCCAGGGGTGCAGCAAAAGAGCTGAAACCAAAGCATCTCATGGGTACATCCCAAAGCCAGCCCTGCCACTGCCACCTGCGCTGCCTGGCTACTTGTCCTGCTGTGGTCCCAGGCCTGAAGGACCAAGGCTGCAGAGCCAGGATGGCTTCCTGAGCACCCTGGTGCCTCTGAGGCCACACACCCCCACAAGACAGTCCCTCAGGGCAGAAGGACTCCAGAAAACAAACTGTTTCCAGTGGAAGTGAAAAGCATAAAGTAAAACAGATGTGTTCTGGCACAGGAAAACCCCAGGCCAGATACTACATTTTTATATCTGCCAGGTTCTACTTTCCAGCCCTGACATCAGTATTTCTGCTGGTTCAGAGGTCCCCTGGGGTGGGAACGCCCTGGCTGCAGCAAGGCAGGGTCTTTCTCTGTGTAAGGGGTGTGACTGTGACCAGCTTCTGGGGAGCACAGAAGGTGACACAGCTTGGGCCAGTGCTGGGAACTAAATCATCTCAGAGACTTAGGCAGCCATGTTATACAAGATTTTTTGCTACCTATGAGCTAGATCAAATAACAGTTGCTTTGTGCTAGAGATTTAAGTGTTTGCTTAGCTATGGCAAGTCGAGCATGGTTTGAAGTTCATGCTCCCTTTCTTTTTTTCTTAGCTTTGGTAGTTGATGTGAGCAAAATCAATCAAGTGTGCAAAATGAGAGCTACAGGTTTATGTCAAAACCAGAAACCTTAGCTGTCTTCTTCTTCAAGCAATACTTGTCTTCATAATGTACAACAGTTCCCCTTGCTGCAGATACTTGGTGTTTTGTTTAAAAACCCATGGCACCCTTTCCCAGAACTCATAGGTGCAGTGTCTGGTGCAGGGAGTGCACAGTTTGCAATGAGTCTGTGAATGCTGCAGAGACTCAGCTCTCTGCAAGTTCTGTTTTACAAGGGAAAAAAAATCCCAGTGGTAAATACTACCAAGCCAGAGTCCCAACCCACATCCACACAAAGTGAATAAAAAATAAAACAGAGGACTCAAGTGATGAAAGAATACTCCATGTTTTTCCTCTGCTTCTTCTGTTTAGCTAAAAATGAATGTCACCACCAAGCAAAGGTAGGATGTGACCACTTCTGCTATCCAGGAAGTGATTCCTACCGCTGCTCCTGTGCTGATGGCTACGAGCTTGGGAAGGATAAAAAGCAGTGCATTGCATTAGGTAGGTGTGAGTATGGAGGTAAAGGGGGCACCTGCTCAGGCTGGGGTGGGCAGGCCGCCATCCAATAGATGTGATCAGCCTGCTTTGAGCCTAAAGCAATATTACTGGGTAGAAAAAGGAATCTAGGGACCACCACCTAAGATGCCAAAGTAATTCTAAAAGAAGGGCTATTTGATCAGAATGTTTAAGTATGAATCAGCAGAGAGGACTTGCACCACTCTGCATATCACTGACTGGACTAGGTTTTCCACTCCTGTTTCACGAAGAGTAATTCCGCTGAACATGTGTTTGCTTGGGAATGAGACTCCATTGATTTCCATCAGGTGACCAATAGTCTAATAAATTAAGGGAAACATTTGCTGCCATATTAATTAGCTTGAAACAGTAGCCCTTTTTAGTTCTTCAGTCTCATATTAGGTATCTCATTCAATTTCATCCCCTTACAAAGTAGGTCTACTAAATCCACAGAAGTATATTTAGACCTGTGTCTGTATTAGCACAAGTGGGGCAGCCAAATCTGAGTCCAGCTGTAGAGGCACACTTTTGGTGGTGACAGACTGAGGTCCACACTCAGTGCACACTTCAGGTGGCCTTTACATCAAACTGGCCTAGTTTAGTCCTGTGGACTAAGCACCAGTCAGCTGTGAGAGCATGTCATGTGTGCACCTGGAAGGTGTCCTGTGGTTTAGCTTCACCTGAACAGAATCCAGTGCGTGTGACCCAAATCCAAACCAAGAGGGTGTGACAAATGCAGATAACTGGGTGATTCCATCGAAAAGCATGTGTGTTGTTTGAACCAGATGAGAAAGGCATGCATGTCCCTAGAGTGACAGCTGTAACAAGGAAAACCCAGGATTTACCTTGTCCAGGCTGGGCCACAGCTCTCAGGTATTTGACACAATTTGAAAAAAGCAAGATGAGCTAATGGTTGGCTGGAGAGGAAGCCTCATCTCATTAGTGAAATGAGTTACAGGGAAACCTGGTCCCTACAAGCCTTACACAGTGACCATGTTCAGCCCATTGCTAAACTATTATGACTACAATTGCCAAACAAATTATTGCAATTTTCACCAGCTGAGACAATGTCATTCTTTTCCTTTGTGCAAAAGCAGAACCCCAAAGTCTAGATGAAACAGTAGGCAGTTGCAGGTATTAACTGTCTTGAAATGATACAGCATAAAGTTTTGACTTTTCTTTTTAAATTCATTTGTTAGATGCATGTGCATGTGGCAGACTTCAAGACAGTGATAACCTTATAAGTGAAACCAGGAAGAAAAGTGATGAGCGATTTCCTTGGCAGGTATTCCTAGCAATTCATGAAACCCATCACTTACCCTCACATGGATAGTGCTATCTATTGTCTTTCTGCATTTCCTAGGTACTGCTGCTAAACCCAGAAGGGAAAGGCTTCTGTGGAGGAGTGTTGCTAAAAAGTAACTTCGTGTTGACCACAGCAGAGTGTGCCCTTCTGCACAGCCATTTCCAAATCAGGGTTGGTGCTGGTAGGTGATCCAACACATTTTTTCTTGCTGCAACACATTTCAGTATTGACAAGCTAAATTTTAAAAAAGCTTACTAAGCTTCTTGCTGCATAAAAATATTGTTAAAGGAAACAAATATGATGTTATTTCACTTAAGCACCTCAGTCAAGTATCTGAGCTAGAACTACAGCTGCCGCACGCTCCCCTTTACAAGGCAAGCAGAAAGTGCCTCTTGAGCAGTTTAGAACTCAGCACCCAGAGATCAGCTAAACATAGTGGATTTAGTGGTGAATTTTCATGCCAAAATTCACATCAGTGCTGGATATTCATCCTTACTGCTGAAATTATTCATGCTCCTACCAGCATTAAACAGCTGCCAGTGTGTTATTCCTCGTTTCCCTTTACTGCAGGGATTTTGAGGAAGAGCACCTTTAGCTCCTCCACTGCACGTGTTTCTCAGCATGACCAGGCAGCTTGCATGCAGCTTTCAGGTCTCTGATGAGCTATTCCTAAGAGCAGTCAAATGTCATTGCTCCACAGGGCCTAATGGAACAAGTGGAACTGGGAAGATAATGCAAATTAGTGAGAAGCACATCCACATCCGGTATGATGAAGACACTGGTGAGAACAACATTGCATTACTACAACTTCAAGAGCATGTTGAGTGTGACAGCTCCCACCTTCCTGTGTGCACCCCTGAGAGAGACTTTGCAGAACACGTTTTAATTCCAAAACTGGCTGGTACAGTCAGCGGCTGGAGAATGGAGGCTGACGAACTTCAAGGGGAAGAGCTGCAGGTTTCATACCTGCCTGCTGAGGACTGCAAGCAAATACTCAACATCAGCCTCACAAACAGGCAGTTCTGTGGGCACCTCCAGGAGGCCACAGACAAACACCTGGCTGGAGGAAGCTTTTTGGTTACTGAGTACAAGGGCACGTGGTTTCTGACTGGTATCCTGGGATCCTGGCCGCTGGAAGACACTGACTGGGAAACACTGCTTTTCACCAACACTGCAAGGTATATGGTATGGGTTAAACAAAAAATAAAGTAAGACACAAACACAACCAACTCTCAAGCACCAAGCCCCTACCAATCGTTGCAAGGAAACATGGATGCAGCCAGTACCCCCATTTGACTCTGCTACTGTTTGCAGCAATGGAAGTTGCAACAATGACATGTATTTAACTCCAGTTTATACAGAAAAGCCTGTTTTGTCTTTCCTTCTGTTGACACAGCACTGTGAGTCATGATACAGTAAACCTAGTTATTGAATTAAAAACTGATTTAATTTTACATTTCTTGGAACTGTTAATTCTAAATCTCAAAACATACTCAATATTTTTCTGTGACTTCAAATGTGGCTAGTACCCTGAGGTTTGATTCGGCAAATTCAAATTCTTATTTCAGGATCCATACAAGTAAAACTTAAAAGACATGGGGAATGCCAAGCTCTTAAATGTCTATGTTGACGCAGCACTTGACATTTTCATCACACTAAAAAATGCTTTCCCTCATACGTGGAATCTATGTTTTCCCTTATGAATGATGTCCATGTCAGTTAGAAACCCAACTGTCAAAGACAACAAAAAATAAATGTTTTATTTGTTTTAAAAGTAATTTAAAAACCCCAAAACTAAGATCTCATCAGTCTGGACAAAGTTATATTGTACCACCCTCACCAACCCCCAGGGTAGTAACACTTAAAATACTGGATCCAGTAGTAGTGTTTTCCCCAGAAGCAAAATAAAACAGAGTATGGATAATTTAGCTACAGGAGTTTTTGTTCATCGTAACAAAAATTAAACAAAATATGACCAGAATTAAAAAAAATCCCAAAGCCACCTGTGGGCACCTACCACATATACTCAAACACGTAAGTATTACTGACACAGTAAAGCTTTTGGTGTCAAACACTTCTCTATTTTTTAGAGGCAGTTTGAAGAGAGCATTTAATACCCACAAAATTATTGAAACTTAAAAAAAAAAATGGAAACCATGTAAGAAAACATTACTTCCACTCTGAAGAATGGATTAACACAAGCAACAAAGGCTGATACTTCCCTCTGAAGGATAAACACAGATAGTAACATGAAGTACTTTATAAAAGCTTCTAAGTAGTTGGGAAGGAATTTGGAATGCTTTGCTTTATTTCTTCATGAGATACTTTGAATGATCTAGAAAGCCTGTGGAAATTACCATTTAAAAGTCAACAATTCATTTCAATGCACTTTGTAACACTGGCAGCCTTGGCCATTCTGGGAAAGGAGCAACAAACAGTTCCTGGTATTTCAGTCCTGGACATGAACCAGGCCATTTACAGTGTTCTTGGGGTCACTGGGAGCAGTTCCACTGGGCAAGCTGAGTATCTGAAGAGTACTTGCATGGCTAAGATGCAATACTCAACAACACACTGTTGACAGTGGAGGAAATGGGTTCTGCTTGCTCACCACAAGCTTCTGATGCTGATGGGATATATAGCCTTTAATGTGACCCTGGCAGAAGGAGAAAAAGGCAGAGTTAGTACTTAGAGCTGGTAACACAAACCCTACAACCCAAGCAAACACCTACAAGCTAACCACAGCAAAGCTGTTTATGCTCTCTCACCACTACACTACTGTACTTCAATATCCATGAGGGACCAGTTTAGGTAAGTGGGTCACCTTTGAGAGCAAGCACAAAGCTGGAGCCACCACCCTGTTTGTGTACTAAGGGAGCTGTCAGACTGAGAGCCTCTTGTCAGGGCCCCCCATGAGTCTGCTTACACTGCCTCGAAGAGACAGAGCTCTACAGAAGTGTTTCTAAATTCACTCTTGCTCACTTTAAAATGAGGATTTTAATCAATTAGTATTCCATACCTAATAAAATAAATGACATAGTACTTCCTTTTCAGACATAGTGTTGTAACAGTGAAAGAAATCTCCCAGTGACCTAGACCACATCAAACAATGTTTCAGAAACAGAGTAGTGGTTAATTTTCTTGCTGACACTATAGTGATGCTTCACAACCTCTGATTTAATACAAATATTTAGATTTCAAGCTTTTATCCATTCATAAGCAGTTGAGATTCACTTAGAGTAAAAGACAAAATTTGGAACAGAACCAAAGAAATCTAGCTCTATTTTTTTCTAATTTGAGAAGACCAAGAGTCTCCTACTTCAAATGCAGAACAAATATTTTGGTGTCACTTGAAAGGTTTGTATTTTTAAATCAATGTTTCTGCATATATTGAAACGTCAGTATTGAATTTGTAATGTGAAATTCAACTTCAATTTTACCTGATTCCTGCAAAAAAAGGCAGGAACTAGAGGAAGTCCTCAGGACAAATGAAAACATTTCACTTTGAGCACAAGTCTCTCAAAAAACACCACAAGAAAACCTGGGATTACTGATGAGTTTTTTGTCATAAACTGTTATTCTCTATCTAGTATTTTTCACTGTCAGAAGTCTGGAAGCACCAGACAACAAGTGGTCAGCACTTACCAAATATATGAGGTTAGCTAAAATACACTGGACTTCATCAATATCAACATCATCTACTTGCATGAACTTCAGGGCAACCAGAAAAGCATCTAGAGATAGCTGATGAGTTTTGAGTAGTAAATATCTGAAAGAAAAAACAGGAAAAATGTGTTGTTGTGAAATAATCACTTTAGAATTCTGTTTCTTAGAAAAATGGCCTTTCTACAATAAATTCACCTTAACAGGAAGTCAGCTCTCTCAAAGAGAGCTAAGGAGCATGTACAATTCTACCCCACTCCCAGGTGAAATCATATTAAATCTGCTTTTGCAAAAATGTAGTTTTTGTTATGCTTACACTTTCTTGAAGAGATTCCTGTATGTGATGATTTTCAGCTTCTCAAGGATAAGAAAGATTCCGCATCGAATAAAGAAGGTCTCATGCTTTGTCAGAGCATCATTCAGAAGGAGAAGATTTCCTTCACTGCAAGGATAAAGAAATGAAAAAGTGAGAAGGTCTCACACCAGTAAAAAAAGAAAGTATGACTTGGTAGGAATATGCTTCCCCTGCCTTCCTCAATCACCCCAAAGAAACACTTTTTACTTAATACTTTTTGAACACAAAGCAGAAAAGCAAGAATCATACCTCACAGACTTTGTTACTTCAGCAAACTGCATAAGGTCATACTTTTTTAAGAGCTGAACTGTTGGCATATGGCCCTGAAAAATAAATGGTGTCCAAGTTTTCCAGGGTAAAGTTAAATGCATTTTAAACAGAATCTAGTAAGCTATAAAAAAAATTGTTAAGAGAAAAAGAAGAACGTTTAACCATTATTTTTTTTGCTACAGAATAAGAAGTGAATAAAAGTATTTGCAAGACAACCCCCTTGTCCCTCTCAAACACCTTATAGCACAACTCACAGTAACTACTGATTTATCATGATTTAGGGACAAGCAACACTTATTGTTAGGGAACATCTATCAAACTTGTAGAATCAAGATCTTGTACATGAGGCCTTGGCAGATTCAAATTTTATGTCATAGTTGTATCATCTAATCTACAAACAGAAGAACTGCAGGACTCCCAAGCATTTCCAAAGGAATATGAGCACTTCTTCAGCCTTGTCAAGTGTTATATCAGTCTGTAACCAATTTTTTCTTCTCTATGCCTCCATGCAGAAATAAAAATGTCCTCTCAGAAAACAAACACCACCACCATGCCCTCTCCCCCCACCAAAAAAAAAGAAAAAAAGGGGGAGAGAAAGGTTAAATTTAAGGAAACAAAATTAATTCTTATTGTTACATCAGGTAAGACTGAACCACCTACAGAATCAAAAAGAAACTTTGCCTTTTATCCCCTGCACAGCAAAGATCAGAATGCACGCTGACTTGGTCAGACTTTAAATTCAGTTACATCATGCTATGCTGCTGCTAACTCCTTTCCTGGATGAAGGATTAGCTGAGAGCAGAACTGAGCTGCAGGTTTACTGAGAGCTGTTAGGAACAAAAAAACCAACACACAAGCTATTTTAGTAGTTTGAAGTTAGTGTTAATATTTGGGCTCTGTTTCAAAAAAGTAACTGTAAATACAATGACCTTTTATCTAGCTTCTTTAATGTCTCTTGTACACTAAAACTGCTTCAGAAAAGCCACAGTAATTCTAGGCACTAACAGAACAACCAGCTTAAGGCACCTAGTCAGGACTGGGACAAAGCTTTTAGGAAGACTGTTAATAAGTTTCCCTTTACCAACCCTACCAACGACTGATCTGAAAACAGCTGCTAAGAAAGTCGACAATTAAAACAAGGAAAACAGAAGCCAATTATCATACCCACTATACTTCCCCTTTACCCACTTGACACAGCAAGGGATAAGAAGGAAGCACTGAAAGGAAAAAGCAGGGAGGTCATAAACAGGTCAGGGGGAAGGTGGAAAGTGGCAACTCAACAGAGGCAGGTGATAACATTCAACAGGGGTAACTTCGGGAACAGGGCCAGAACAGGAAACACTAAAATCTAGTTCCTATCCCCTCAGTCACAATGAATTAATACTCAGCATAATCCACTAATTCAGGGATACACAAATGTTAGCACAGCACATGGGAAAGAACAGGAACAAGAAACACACGTGATTAGTTCTTTCAATAGAAACATGAAGTGATCAAATAGTAACAAGTCTTCACTGATTTTTCAGAACCAAAATGCTCTGCTTCATGACCCTTCTGACATGCCTTGAATGGGAAAATGTACGAGGTACAAATAAAAAAGCCAAAGGCAGGCTGTAGCTGCAGCAAACCCCTCTCAACAGTCCTCAGCCATCTGCTTGCACACCCTTCTTTCTTCCACCAGGTGAAAGAGGCAGACAAATTCTGCTTCCAGTGAATCCACACCTTCCCTGGCTTTTGTGTGCAGCTGATCAGCAGAGAGGCACTCTGCTACAAGACAGAAGTCACACTGTTGAGTGCTTCTCCAAAGAATTCAAATATACCTTCATTAAAGTAGGAAGATCAGGTTGCACCCTTAGGAGGAGTGGGAGAAAGGTAGGGGGAAAGGAGGGCCGGGTTGGTTTAGTTTGGGGATGGGGTTTTTTTTCTTTGGCTGTGTTATTTCCCCTCCTATCTCCTTTCCCACGTTGGTATAAATGACAACTAAATACTTTTTGCCCTCAGGTAACAAGGTGTGCATACACTGGCTCTTACAGGGATAAAATAGTCTCTGAATTCCACTAAGGGAAAACCAAGAAAATACTGAGCATCAGTTTTACAGTCTGCATGTGTACCCCCTTCCCCTTATTAAGAAAAGTGGCATCTACTCACCAACAACATTTTTACTGGCAGCAGGTAAATCAAAATCATTCTTTTGTTCTTCTGGCTTGATCGGTGACAGTGCTCAAAGGCAAATGACAGATACTCTTCAGCTGCAAGCACGAGTAACACAAATCAACCACAAAAATGGATTAAAATTCTATGCTCAATGTCCATCTCTCTTCAACACGTAACATTTGAAATTGTATAAAAAAAAATCATGCCACTCAAAATACATAAAGAAAAGTTGGAGATTCACACAAAATACAAAGTATTACTAGAAAGGTAAGTTCTCCTTCAGAAAGTCAAAGAAAACTCGTCAAGATCTTCATGTCAGACATTACAGTTACAAGTAATATTGGATTTTTCAGCTCATTTCAGTAATATTATTGTGCTCCTATTACAGAAGAAGAGAATCTCAAGAAGTGCTGGTCACTCTATACACTCTATTTCCTAAATTGAGATTAGGTTCTTCAAGAGATGAAAGCTGAATGCAATGCCCACATCTCCTGAGCTGCAAAAATGTGCCAGTGAGACCATACAGCACAACAGCATGAAAACCTCCCAGCAGCTTCCACCGATAGAGAGAAAATGATAAGCCTGAAAGGTAGCACACACTATCTGGAGTAACATAACCAGCTCTAGAACAAATGTTGATCAAGGGCTTCAGTTAGTGATGAGGCTGTACCCCTTAGCTCTAGCAGCATTTCTGTTAGTGAAATCTATTAGAAATCTAGGAAACTCAGTTTGTACATCTTCCAAAATCAATGGATGAGAAACTACAGTTTGCTACACTACAGTCTGCTGAAGATTTCCTAAGTGGCACACAGCAACTTGAAGAGTTGAAGGCTCCTCTGCAAAACTTTTACAGACCTATTCTTTTGGATGCTCACACATTTTGTAATACACACACATAATGCATAAGTCTGTAGGGAACTTCACTGACGCAAATATTTTAAAGCTGGGCATACACTACAATTAGAAGTGTCATGTAACCTCATCTCTGTTTCGAGTCAGCCTCTGGGCCTTGGACCTTTCAGCATGACTTTTCCTTTGATCAGTGCAATTCTGAGTCACACACACACACACAACTTCAGCAAGATTTCATGCCAAGCAGCAAGACTTTAAACATGTCTTACTGGCACACAGTACCTTGCTTAAAGTCGCTGTCAAACATGGCCTTGCGTCCAACATAGTATTTGTACGTAACTCTCTGTGCCATACTATACTCCTCCTTCAGATTTGAGCTGTCAATTGCTCTAATTAAGGGCTTACAGAGATGGAGCTTGTTGATCTGTTAAAAAAAACCCCAACAATTTAATCAGAGTGTAGATAGATGGTATCATATAAAAACAGGGTGGGTTTAACTTAGAATATGAAATACAAAACAGCTTACCAGACTTGAACCCTACCTTAAAATAAATTTTAAACAGCTGATTCACAAGAAACAACATGCCCCACTTTTTTGAGTCTTCGATGCCTGCTCGACTGTCATAAGGAAAAAGAAAAAACCTGCTAGTACCGAACATTGTAAGAAAATAATGACTTTGTCCTCACAGTAAATTCATTCCATAGAGATTCACTCCATAGCATTTTTAGGGTAAACATAGGTGTAGCTCTGCTATATATTTTCTCAACATAATGAAAAGATGTCATGCAGAATATTATTCATCTGCATCAGGGTCCTCACTCCAGTTTGCAGATAACATACACGAACATTGCAGTGGCTTATAATACCTGAGATGAAAGAAAGACCCAAAAAAAAAGCATTTTTTCCACTTCAGAAGTGTTAAAATTGCTAACACCGTAAAACCAAAGCCACCTCTTTTCCATCTAATTAATTCTAATAGAGCAAACTTCACAACTAACAGGGCACAGAAGCATTAATCATCTTTCCTGAGAAACAGGGACATAATCAGTGCCTCCCAACAATACCTGCTAGGAATGCTAAACCTAAAGTGAGGGCTCTCCCTCTGCAGTTAATAGTCAAGGGATTAAGACAATAAATGAGAAGAGACAAGCCTCAGAAGTGTTCATTCTAAGACCCGTATTTGGTCTAAATATGTGGGAAAATCTAAAGCAAAGTTCATTAAGTTCTCAGTAATTAACTAGTGCAAGTCCAGCAGAGGGTCTTTCACTTACGTGTCACTGGCACAGACTCGAAAGCAGCCCATCAGCAGCTCTGCTGCTTTTTCCAACATGTCACCCACTTTGCTTTTCCCTTTCTTCACAAGCTGTTGATCTGCCTAGCAAGAAACAATAAGCAATTCTACATCGTGGTTCACTGGGTTGCAAAGTTTAGTTTTTTAATTTAGCATTTTATAAAGTGTTATAGCAAGAGATCTATCATGGCTGCTATCTCCCAAATCTAGAAGGCAGTCAAGCTCCCAGAACAAAAGAAAACACTCAGAGAGGCTCCTGGACATGCACCAACCCCAATTAGAGGAGGACAGTCCTTGGAAAATAGCACTGACCACTATTACCTTTAGCATCACTCAGCTTAATGCAGCTCTCAGAAACCCAATTTCAGGTTTAATGCATGAATTGGAGCATTAACACTTCAACTCAAGTGTACAAAGACCAAGAGCCTGGAAAAAATTATGGAGTTTGAGTTTTAGAATTTATAATTCAGTTTCTCTCCACAGCCACAAAGACTACATTTTATTTCTAAACCATGTTCAACAGTGTCCAGTAGTAACACACACTGCTGGGACCTGAGACTTCCAGAAGAAAGATAAAACATATGTTACAGCAGCAAGAGAAAAAAAATAATTCAGTTGTCAACATATGGGAAAGATCCACACACTGACTAATGCAGAACTTCAACAGAAAAAATATAGCAAGTAGATATTTATTACGTGCTTTCTAAAGAGTTTTATCATAGTGTTTGCATTCTCACTAGCCAAAGCATAAATAAAAGAAATGGAAATGCATCCTGCTGCAGAAGTCTTCTCTGAAACCAGATCCTCTGAATAATACACTAAGGTCAGAAGACAGAGTTCAAACACTTCCAGCATGACTGATTCAACAGTACCCTTTCTCATGCATCTCAGAGATATGGATTTCCCTCATTCAAACTGAGAATTGAGACTCGTTGCAGAGCAGTAACACACACAAAGTACTCACTGTGCAAGCATTCCCATTCCTCATGTGGTTTTGTGGGTAAGTGGGCATGAGAGAGTGATGAGGGGATGAACACTGAAAATACTGGACATTGTCAAACCCTAACCTCACTTGAACTCTAGCTTCAACTCTTCAGTTGAAGTGACAAAGAACAAAATCACAACTCTGCCACTTAACTTGGCCTAGAAGTTCTCAATAGATCCCTACACAAGCTACTTCAATTCACCAGCCTGAGAAAAATAACGTAAATTTGGGGATTATTAGCATGTCAGCAGTTGTATGGGCTCACCAAGGGCTCCAAAGAGCATCAGAAGTGGTTCACACATCTGGAGAAGGGGAGCAGAAAGTTCCCTCTTCAGATCTGGTGAATGGTTATATCAGTCTGGTTGTCTGTGATACTTCCAATTTCCACCAAATCCCAGGGATAACATGGAAATAGTGACTTACACCACATACTACTCAATAAAGAAAATATTTATCCCTTCAAAAGTTCTAAACAACTGCTGGGAGCTGCATTCAGGCCCTCAGAACTCCTCTAGTTCCAACTGCCAACAGAAGGTGGACAGATCTAGCAACCTCATCTTTCAGTAAGAGTGGATGAATTTAGCATGTCAACAAAATCCTAAACAATGAGTTAAAGAGAACTGAGCAAAATTAGACTGTGTAATAAATTCTGTAAAAATATTTCTATTGTGGAAATACCAAACAGATAAAAGTAATGAGGCTGTTAATCAGATCTACTTACATTATTAGCAAAAATTCGAAGATCAAGGGCTACAGAATACATAATAGGTAAGGCCCTGGAAAAGAAAATCATAATATACTTAATAGGTTCAAATCAAGCAATAAGTAAGACATGGGAAACAAGCAATTTTTTTTTTTTTTTAGTTGGTCATACAGTTAGAAAATTATATATTAATCTTTAAATGAAGAAGGATGCACTTCTTAAAGGGACAGTTCTTCAAGATCTCAGTATTTCAGAAATCCTATACTACAATAATTATTTCAAAGGACTTTTTTACTGTGGCTTTAATAAAATTCCACTTCTCTTTGAACAAATCCTTCATCTATTTACATATGGACCATTCTATGCAATTAAGCTCAGATGTTTGGTTTCAACACTTTGGACATGAAACTTAACCAGGCAACAAAGCCAATTAGGCTTGATTTTAGCATCACTGGGGATAAATAAAAGTATAGATACAATTTTAGTTTGACTCCAATGGTATTATGCTAGGAAAAGATGAGTCTATTTTCTAGTAGCTTTCTACCATGTACTCACCAATTTTCTTCTTTATGTGCCTGAAATGCTCGCAGGAAAGATGTATGGTATTGAGGAAAATTTAAAATGCCATGAAATGAAGCACAGATTTGAGAAACAGCTGTTCAATGGTACCATATATGACTTCATGAAAGACTAGAAATCAAAACACCATCAAGAAGTTGAGGAGCTGAGGTGCAGTATGAAGAAAGTGAGCACAGCCATGCACCCCTTTGAGTGGCAGCAGCAGTAAAAAACACTGGCCAGAGATAAGATAGAAGCTTCTTTATCATTATCTTCCCCTCCAGCCACATACAAACTGCAAGGTATTACAATGATTTGAAACTCTCCTACATTCTGGGAGAAATTAATATTCTATTTTAGAGCCAAGTAAAACATTCTTTCTTAGCCCTATAGAAAGCTGGAAGAAGAATGTGTCTGGATTTCCTTGTTTAGAAACCTAAACAACTGAAGTGTATTGGGAAGCAGACCATGTTCTATTAGATTTTTAATAACCATAAAGAAAACTTATTCTACAAGAAGTTAATCTGAAAACAATATGCAAGATTTATGGAAAAGGATATTGGACAATAACTGTTTGGCATTTGTATGCTTCTACAAAGTCATGGTTTGCAACTGCATAAGTACACCTGTCAAAGAAAAGGGGCATTAGTGCATCAGAAAATATACATAAATGAAATATTTATTTTTGTGTCCTACCAGGCATGAAGGTTTACAGTTTATTTAAGGCACAAATATGACTAGAAGCATTCCTAAAAAACTGGCACAAGTATTTTAATAGAGCACTAAGCTTGATAATTGTAGAAAACAGATGCTAGAGATTAATAAGTATTTGTTTTACATAAGCTAATGCTTATTGAAACTGTCACCAAGATTAAATTTTAAAAATGCAAGATTGTTGAAAGATACTAGATGCAGAAAATTATTTAGTAAAAGCCTTGCAGAATTACTTAGATACTAAGCTCTCTTAAAAGTATTTTCATGATTAAAATTCCCTTTTAAAAATATTTATTTCCCTTGCTTATTTCACTCTAAATTCATGTGCAGCTAGTAGGCAGAGGGGAAACAGCAAGCACTGACACCAAAGCTGTGCCAATGGCCATACACAGATGACAGCCAGGTACACAGAGCAAACTTTATATGGAGAGGAGAAAGAAAGTCTTTATTTCCTGCAATTCTAGCATATTTATAAGAGTAATAAATACCAAGTTTTCATGTGTAAGCCCTTTAAAATAGGAAAGTAAACTTAAGGATATCCTTCCCCATCCCTGCTGCACACCTCACAACTGACTTTACATTCTGGGCCCACCTTTACCTTAAGTGGGCTGCAAACATTTCATCATATGGCGATTCCAAAACTTGTTGGCACTTCTCCTCTGGAGATGGAAGCTAAGTGTAGAATAGATCAATAAAACATTACAGGGACATCCAGTGCACCAGAAACTGCAAAATATGCATATTTTGTCATGGCAGTTCTCACAGATTTGCTAGGGTTGGAAGGGACCTCTAGTATGCATCAATCAGAACTTTAAATTACATTAACAATCATATACAAAATAATGAATTACTAGTGTCACTCTGTCTCCAGAACCTGAACAGAGCCAGCCTTAAATAAAAGCATGCAAAACACACAAACACCAAGCCCTTACTGCCCACTGCTTTTTTGTCTCTAGTGCCTTTCACAGTGCTATGCTAATAACTAATGCAGACCTGGTCAGAGAGGACATTCAAAACTGTATCTATCTAGAAAACAATTCAAAATGGAACACAAAGAACCAACCAGAACATAAAAATTATATATAGTATGCTGGTAAAAAGAAAAGGGAAGCAAACCGACATGGGGATACTACCTCAGCCTGTGAAACAGATTTCTGAGGTTTCTCTCCAATGGAAAGGCACCCACACACAGAGCTGGGAAAAGTAAAAGCAAAACAAAAGGTCAAAAAACATCCTCACCTGTAGCCTTGGGTTTGCAACATGTGGATGTTTAAATGATACCAATTCTGCACAAAATGTACCATCTCTGGTCTCAATGGCTTCTTGTACCTACCAAAGTAAACAGACACATTACAGAATAAAATCCAGCAACAGACACACAACACATTTACACAACTACAGAAGCCACCACCTAGTTACCACTGTACATACATATTAATATCAAATCAAATGTGAGTTTTTAAAGGCTTAACATTGAATAAATAATTTTTTATTTCCAATACACCTGTTGCTCAAAAAGGTCTCAGGGGGAAGGTAGAGAGAACACCATTGTGTTCTTTTCCTTATTTGTAGGATGCAAGCATATGTATGTACATGGGTTTAGCACTGTTAAACAGCAGTTGGGAGCCAGATTTGGTTAAGCTTTTTAAAATTCCAGTTGGACTTCTAGGCATCAAACATGGATGCAAAGATGCAGTCTTTGAGAAATGCTTTAAAATGAAGACAGGAAGATTTAACATGCAAATATCATTCCAAAGGCAAGGCCTGATATTAGACTGATATTCTATCTCTATCAAATGCTTTTGAAACCTGCTAAGACTGCAAATGTTATATTCTGTGGAGGAATGGTTTAATCCTGCTTCCTGCTAAAGATAACTCCTTGTAAAAAACAGTCTGCTTGGACAGGTTATTGTGACATCAAGGTGAAAATTTATTCAGTTATGGAGGTAGTTTTAGGCATTACTTCTTAACAGTTTCCTTCCCATTGCTTGTGCTTTGTCATATTTTTGTGTCCCAATATGAAAAAAAAATCTTTTTGATGTATGGAAAGCTCATACCAAATGGGAAAAAAACGCCATAGACTAAAATAGCAACAAAAAAGGAAAAATCAACTGTTTAGACTCTTTCAGAGATTTGTGGTTAGCTTTTATTTCAGGAAAAAGAAGATGTAAGTTTACGTTTGTGAGGTATTTTTTCATCTTGAATGTTCAATGTTGTGTCAACCTCACAAAACGTGGGCTTTTCAGAGCAGACCGCTGTCCTGGGAGATCTCAGACTCTCCAATTTTGGAGACTAAAACCCAAACAATTACTTTCTTTTTGAGCCTTAACTAATGCCAGATGAAATAAGATGATAACAGCGACGAGAATACCATGGTACAGTAAGAACCATGCAGAGTGGAGAGACAAGAAGCTTGTCAGTGATAGCTCCATGACGCTGGAATCCCTGCGGCTCCGCTCCTGCCCCTCCATCCTCCGTGTCACGAGTTGTGTCCGCATTTCTGCGTGCCTCCGAGCGCTCTGCTCCCCAAACCCTGAGCTGCCCTCGCTCCTGGACACACACACAGACACACACAGACAGAGACACACACAGACACACAGACAGACCGATAGACAGACACACACACAGAGACACACAGAGTCACACACACAGACACACACACATATACACAGACAGACACACACACACATACACACAGAGACACACACACAGACAGACACACACACAGACACACATACACACAGAGACACACACAGACAGACACACAGACACACACACAGAGACACACACAGAGACACACACAGAGACACACATATACACAGACAGACACACACACACATACACACAGAGACACACACACAGACAGACACACACACAGACACACATACACACAGAGACACACACACAGACACACATACACACAGAGACACACACAGACAGACACACATATACACAGACAGACACACAGACAGACACACACATATATACACAGACAGACACACAGACAGACACACCCACACACACACACACAGACAGACACACAGACACAGACACACACACACCCCCCCCCCACTCTTCAGGCACTCCAGGTGTACACCCTGGCACTCAGACGCTGTGTGCTTCAAGCACGCTGAAGAGATCTATTTCCCCACCACACCACTCACCCTCCGTTGATTTATTTCTTAACCAAGGCACCATATTTACAGCGAACCAGAACACAGCCGCACACTCAAACAGGGCCCACCGGCTCATTAAAAAAAAAGATAAAAAGTCTTGCTTACTTGCTGCAAGTACTGATTAATGGTGATGTGCGCCATTGAAGGGGAGGAGATGCGGCGGGAGGCGCACACCGGAGCCGCCGCGCGAGCCCCGCAACTCCCGGAACTGCCGGAACCGCCCGCGCGCTTCCGGATCCCGGCGCGTCCGAGGGCGCGGAGCGGCCCCGAGCGTCACGTGACAGCCCCCAGAGCCCGCTGCCCCGCCCACCCCGCGCCCGGGGCGTGGCTTCGCTCGGGCAGCCAATGGGAGCGAGCGGTGGGCGGGGCAGAGGCCGCGCGTCAGCGGTAAACCTCGTGCGCTGTGGCGCGCCGCGCGTTGAGGGGTGGTGGGGTTGTGTGGGTGTTGTCGCTGTCACCCGCGCTGCCCCTTGTACCCTCGGCTGGGACAGGAGGCGGGCAGCGCCCTCCGTGCGGCAGGACCCCAGTGCGGGGACACTCCGGTTACTTCCCCGGGAGAGCTGTGGAGGCCCGCCTCCGCTCTCTCCTCGCTAGCTCCGTTGCCCACGGGGAGCGCTGGCGAGGGGTCGCGGTGAACTTGGGTGGAAAAAGTTGAATTGAGCATTAAACTCCCGAACAGATTGACTCCTAAAGGCGCTGGCGCTAGGGAGATGTGTGAGACAAGGACACGCTCCATGTTCGTGCAGGCTGGGCTCGGTTGGGTTTGGCAGGTGCCGGTGAGCGGGGCGCGGGCGGCCTCTCGGGCGGGTGGCTCTTGTGGGCGGCAAGAGCGGCTGCTCCTTGGCTTTCGCTCCGGCCACCCTTCGGCGGGTGCCAGCAAACAGAGCCAGGGCAAGCGGGGGGCACCGAGGGGCCGCCGCCGGCAGGCTGCCCCGGCCCGGGAGCCATCTTGAGAGCGGGGCTGGCTCTCCCGAGCGCCGCGGGCCGCCCGGACTCGGGATCGCCCTCGAACCCGCACCGAGCCGGGCGCCGGGGCGGGCGGGGACAGGCGGGCGGCTATCGGTGCCTCCCTCCGGCGGCACTTGGCAGCCGCCCGCGGGCAGTGGGGGAGGGCGGCTGGGTGGCGGCGGAGGAGGAGGGGAGCGGAGGCGGGGACCAGCCGGCCCCGGCCCGGCCCAGCCCAGCGCGTTGCCCCGGCCGGACACGGCGCCCGGGGCGGAGATGGCGGACGAGCCGCAGAAGAAGTCGCACTTGTCGGCCTTGGTGGGACACACGAACGGGCTCACCAAGCCCGCCTCGCTGACCGCCACCCGCTCTGCGGGAGTGGGAGGAGGAGGCGGAGGCGCGACCGCCTCCTCCAAGAAACTCGTGATCAAGAACTTCAGAGGTGGGTACGGGGCAGGCCGGGCCCTCTGTCCTGGCAGGTGCGCTCGGCCCGATCTTTGTTTACCGCGGCCCCGGCCGCTCCCCGCCCCTTGCCCGCGGCCGGGCCCCGCCGCTGTCACCCGCCCCGCCGCCGATAACGCCGCCGGGCTGATAACGCCGCCGGCACCGTGCCCGTGGGAGGGCTCCCGGGGACACGCGTGGGGCTCCGTGCGCGGGGGCAGCGGCCGTAGGCAGCGGGCAGAAAGCCACCTTAGTGTCAGCGCTGATTAAAGCCAGGCGAGGGTGGTTGCCTCGCTGAAAGTAACACGGGCGTCAAACACAGCAGCCGGGGGTGAGGCGCGTCGTGCGAAGGCTCGGGTGGAATTAGTGACCCCTCTGAGAGTGCCAGACTTACATGGCCAAGAGCACAGTGGCTTGGCAGAGCTTGATGGAGCAGCAGGGAGAGACATTGCCGCAGGCTCCCGTTGGGTGGGCGGTTTCAAACTACCTGTGTTTTACTTCACAGAAAGACCCAAATTACCAGATAATTATACTCAGGACACCTGGCAGAAACTTCATGAAGCGGTGGGAGCTATACAGAGTAGCATCTCTATTAAATACAACCTTGAAGAGCTCTACCAGGTAAGCTACATAAGGTTTTGGTTTCGTTTTTTTTTTTTTTGCAAATAAACTGCTTGGCACACATTCAACGTAATGTATTTTGATTTGTTAAAAGCTGATTGAATACTTTGCTACTTACTCTGTTTGTAGTCAGTTGTTTATCAGTTCCTTGGAGAGCTACCAGGATCTGGGCCCATGAAAAAGCAGTTTCTCTTGGGAGGCGCAGAAAGCTGTTCCTGGGCAGGGCTGAGATCTAAGTCTTAGTATCTCCAATACTCTGCCCACTCAACATGCTGAAAACAGGATGTTACTCTAGCAGGGTTATGAAGTTATGTATTTTATGATGATTTTTGTCCATGATGTGGTCTCTTGTAAATAGTAATGTTGAAGTATTTGCTGTTATTACATTTTAATACTACACTTCTATACCTTTTGGGGAATTAAAAAGGAATCTTGATTAAGCAGGCAACAAACTGTCACTTTATCCACATTTCAGATTAATGTTAGATTTTCATAACAATCTTAGTTTTTTGGTTCAAGTGGTGCAAAAGCATTTCTGGAACACTTGGACCATTGGAGCAGGGGCTAGGGGGGTAAAAGAGAGATGGAATCCTGAGCCATTTCTCTCTACATTCTCCAATTATATGTGGTTTAGTTCTATTTCAGATGTATGTGCTTTGAGATATTTAGCTGAAGTAGCAGCTTTTTAGAGTGATCATGCTGTAAAAGACTACTGATGCTCTAAATTGTGCTACTTAACATGAGTTTTCTGTGGGTGCAGGTGTTTGATCTGCAGATTGATGTCCTTGCTAGACCAGGACTGAAAACATTATTATGCACACCTAAAATTTTCTGAATATTTAGTTGAGGTGTGAAGGGGAGACTGTGAGAGAGGAGAAGGCCAGTAGTCCTTACTGGGTCCCTGTTCAAGAAGTTGAGGATGGATTTCAGAACTGACTATACTTATCTCTTTAGTTAGGGTATGTAATATATGGGTCTAAAATGGCTGATTATGTAAATGCATATTGATATAAAATAATTATTCCTTTTAAATTGAAAGCTTGACTGTAATATATTTATCTGTTAATACTTGCAGATTTGCACAGTTTGAACGGCATAATGCATTTTGTTTTAAATTCAGCATTTGAAAAACCCTCCTTTTTCATGTCTAGCAAAAAAAAAAAATAAACCAAAAACCAGCCCACAGATGCTTCGAGTGTTACCTAACTTGTTTTCAGAGGCTCAGAAATGAGATTATAGTTATATGGCTATGAAATCACTAGGGTACGTGTTTGAGTTTTGGCAGAAGAGGAGAGATATTTCAGATAAACTGTGAAGGGAGAATTGTACTTCTTGCTTTTTCTCTTTGCCTGCTTATTTGTAAAAACTGGGTAAGGCTGGTTGAATAATCCTTAACACAGCAAATCAGGAAGATTTCTGCACAGTGGGTGGTGGTGCTCAGTGTGCCTGTGCATGGACAGGTATTTACTGTCCTGCCAGTGGAATAAAAGATGAGGTTCAGCATCCATTGGAAACCTGATCTGTATTTACAGATCATTTTAACTGCCTGTTGGTGAGCATTGAGTCATCCACAGGGGAAAATATCTCTGGGTTCATCAGTTCTTGCTATCAGGCCTTTGTGGTGGTTTTTTTGGGTCTTTTTGAATCTTTATCTGACATTGTGGGAGGAAGTGAGAGGCCTGCTAGAGTTCAGTGCACTCAGTGGGCTGGTGTACCAGCCTACAGTTGGACCTTCTGATTTATTTATTTAATTTGGCACAGTGGCTGGGAAGAAACTGAAGAACAATGATGAGGCTGTGTGGAAGCCTGATGGATACTCCTTTCCAGGCCTTAGAGGCAGCATGGAATCAGGCATGAAGGTGCTTGGCAGAAATGTAGTCAGTGAGCAATGGGAGGGTGGCAGCCAGTTTTTTGTGACTAAAATAGAAATGATGTCTGGGATTGGTGGTAGATTGCACAGATTTTGATAGAAGTAGCTTGTACTTGATGGGATAGAGAAAGTGGGGCAGTACAAAGAATTGCTGAATGAGGAGTGAGTGATAAAAATAATGGAAAAAGAAAATTACCTTTGCAGCAAGGTCCTAAATAACCTGAATTGGGGCAGCACTGCCCTTCTGGAGGACATAGACCAGGACAGTGTAGTAGCAAAGGAAAGACAGTAGAGCAATGAAGGAAAAAATTATGAGAGTCCTGACCAGACTTAAAGTTGGATGGGTAGATAGGGGTAGCTATAACATTATCTGCAAAGTGATTGTCTGAATACTGTTTGTTGCAAGTTATCATTTTACTTGCCTTAAGACCAGATGAAAAATGTTATAGGCACTGTGTTATAATTTTGTTTGCCTGCTTTAATGTTGTATCAAAATTGTGGAGGCCATTTTTATGCACATTTAAATAAAATTAGATTAGGTAGGTTAGAATCCTCTGGAGCAGAGGAAAATATTCTTGGGTCAGTTTTAGTTGCCCAGGTGACATAGTGCTTTAAATCCTTGGCAGTGTTCTGTGCAATATTGCCTCATAATATAACAGCAGCTGATGTTAATATAGTGACCACCAGAACATTTGGTTTTGGGCAGAATTGGCATCCTTAGTTAACTAAGGATAAATACTCAAATAAATCCTGTGAGCTCCCAATGAAAAAGTTCAAGTCTTTATGTAATGGTTAATGTGGGGCTGGTTTTGGGGCTTTTGTTATTGTTTGGGGTTTTTCTTAATTATTTTTTCCTCTCAGTTTGTGTATCTTAGCATGAGTGTGTGAATCAGTGGTAATACTTGGGAAGAAATAAGTTGATAAAAAGACAGGAAAGGCACTATACTCATTTACCAGTTAGAGAGATTGGTTGAAATGTCTAACTTAAAGCTATAAAAAAATTAAAATATTTCGTATGGTTGTGTTCCTGCCCCAAAAAAGCACTTGTGTGCATACTGAGGGATGCACAAAATGGACCTTCTGGGGGAGTTCTACTGCTGAGCAGTACTGAAGGAGGCAGAATTCTGGTAGTGTTTAACAGCACATCTGAAATATGACCCAGATTGTGATTGTGGCTCTTGTTTGTGACACAATCTAGCAGAATAAGAGGGGACCAAAATCGGGAAGGACTCCTGAAGTCTTAATTTGTCTACATAACTTCGTTTTGATGTTTTGGTTTTGTGCACAGCTTGAACATATAATGCTGATTTTTTTTCCTTTGTCAGCCTTAATTACATAGACACAAAAATTCAAGTTCTTTTTTTTGTCTCATTCGTAATCCTT